CATGTGCATTGTTTGTTTTTGATTCTGTTGATTGCACAGTATAGTAAGGTCAGTTGGGCACCATCTGTGAGAAAAAGAGCACCATGAAGCAATTCACTCTACCAGAAATTTTGAAACAGCATGCTGTACTGCTTGGCATTTGCACCAAAAACTCCAATACAAACATTTCAGAGTGTTTTGGTGTCAATCTGAGGACAGTGAAGAGAATTTGGAAAGAGTTAGATGAGTAATCGTGATTATGAAGGTATGGCAGCTTGAAAAACTCACTGATTGTTCTGATAAGAACTACTGAATTTATTGAGGGCCAATTTCTGCAACTCCATCACTCCTTACATTCAGCTACCTAACTCCCCAGACTGCAACTCCCTTGATTATTATGTGTGAGGCACAGTTGAGAAAGATACCAACAAAACTGAAGATGAACTGAAGGCAAGGATTATGGCAGCATTCACCAACTTAAGCATCCAGAAGAGTTTGTAGAAGATTCCAAAATTGTCAGGAGGTTGTGGCTGAAGCCAATGGTGATTTTTATTGAATAAATTTACTCTTTAGCATTTAAAGATATTTTTGTGTAATTTTAGTAAACATATCTGTTAAAATAACATGTCAGTGTTATTTTTATTTTTATGTAATTTAGATAATTTATCCATCAGACACTATATATATATATATATATATATATATATATATATATATATATATTTCATTCTGATTCTGCATGTTCCAATGAATATTTTGATAAACTATTTATTTCTGTACTCTTTATATAAGCAAAGATATTTGTAAATAAAAACATAGTATTTGAAACTGTACCAAAAAAGCATCACAATATTTTAGTTTTCAATTTATTCAATTATCTTTTTAAAAAATATTGGCACAGCTAATGAATAAATTGTAGAATATTCAGTACTTTTTGTTTGATAAAGAATGTTCTTTAAAATTATTGTTAATTATCTATTTTATATAAAAACAAATATAAAAAAGCTAAACTTAAAAATATAGAACAAGTTTATATTTATTTACATACAAACTTTACATGACTCAATCATTTTTTAAATAAATAAACAATGTCAAAAAATTAAAATGAAAATATTAAAACAATACACAGGCAATAATTTTATTTAAAAAAGGTCTTACTTGTTTTAAAAGTTACATTTTTCTGTGAAAGACAATAGACTCTTTTGGATTACAAAAATAAAAGTTAATATTCTTCTAATGGATAAAAAGTTAAGTTAAAAGAAAAAAAATAATAATTTAATTAAAAAGAAAAAAAGCATTAATTTACAAGTATCTTCACATTTTTCAATGTCATGACCTTTCAAGACATAGGCAAGCATGGCTCTATGCAGCTTGCTTGTAATATACATTAAATTATCGCAGCTTTTGGGGAAAGTGGAATATTTCCTACTGTCTTTTTCATGGTTTAGAGTTTTTCTTCTTTTAGATCGAGTGTCAACCAAGGTTAGATAGCCCAATCTACTCTAATTGAGGAAACCACTTTGAGAATCCCTAAAGTTCAGGTTGAGATAGAAGGTAAGACAGGTATTGGAGAAAGCCAAGCTTCCTAAATTGAACAGAAGAGAAGAGAAATGGCTATAAAAACACTGGAGAGTGATACCAAAATCATCATACTATCAGCACTTTACTTTAGATTACAAAAGATAAATTTTGTGCAAAATAGGTTCTCCACTGTAAGGTTAAGAGTTACTAATATTGGTTTAAAAAGTGAATCAATGGAATGGGGTTAATAGATTAATGTGATAAGCCTAGATGGCCAATCTAGATAATTTGTTTTTTACTGGTAGATCTGAAGTATATTGGCATCTGTTTTTCTATTTAAAGTGAAATTTTCTATTTTGAATTAGAAGCCTGGAGTAAGAGAAACCAATGTTGACAAGAAAGAAACGAAGAGCTTGGATGTTTACCTTAAGCAAAAAATGCAGAGGAAAATAACTGCCTAAAGAAAAATAGAACTGGTTTAAAAAGCAATGGTAACATTTCTTAATTGGTCATGTGTAGTCAGAAGAGCAGGAAGATTAAAAGATTAAGAATAACTGAAAAGTGCTTTCCTGGTATTTTGTTATATAATGAAAATTTTGCCAGAGATGCCAAGAGTGAAACTAGATAACTAAGCCAAACAACATTGGATCATTGTATACTGATCATTAATTTTTCATCCATGGGCTAGGAAAGTTATTTCTAAAAATAAATTGAAAATATGGTAATGTTTGAAATTATATGAATGGCTAGAAAAAAGGATATTGAGGAAATTATAATCCAACCAGGTCAAAAGGAGATTTGTTTGATGTCAGAATCAGTATGGATCCCCCCCTTAAGAATGGCACCGAGAGGTTCTTCAACCAAAGAAGATTTGGACGGTCAAAATTTAGAAAAAATAATTAAGGTTTTTAATAATCAATATTAACACCTAGCCCATCTGAATTACTTCAATAAAAGCAAACTGATTTTAGGTCTTAGGGTAGTTGCTGTCCAGTTGCCAAGGAAAACACTACATGATGACATTACCATTTTCTTCACCACACTTTGCAAAGTTCCCTGTTTGATTTGTTGAAGCTACAACTAGTCATGAATATGAGCATTGTTGCTTTTATAATGTTATGAATGATATCGTATCCTAAGAACTTACCAATTCACTGTAGTTAATTCCCACCAAATAGAGGAACATTAATTTAGAAATTATAACCCACATCAAATAAACATTGTTTCTACAATCAAGAGTTACTTATTCATCATGAAGTCACTTTCATTTTATTTTTCTTAGAATTCTCGCTCCCTTCACTTCTTAGGAACCAGCTTCATGTAAGACTGCTTCAAATCAAAATTTAACACATGGGATGGGGAAGATCAACTGGTGGAGGGAGAACTATCAGTGGGTAATAAGATGTAGAGTTGTGCAGCTTCCAACAACTGATATCTACATGAAAACCACACTGCTATAATCTAACTTATGCAATGAACCAAGTATGTTGCTTCTTTTAATTTTTTCCCTTCTCTTCAGTATTCCCCGTCAATCATCTGGCCTCCTCCCAGATGTATCCTTCTCTCCCCAGATATAGTTTGCCATAAAATTCTTCCAGCTTCCCTTTGCTCCTCAACTCAGACTTTAAGGGACGACTAGTCTTTCTTTTATATTTCTTTGCTACAAAAAGGTTATAAATGCAATCTCTTGTTTAAGTTTTCTTAAGTATAGGACCAACTTGAGCATGATTGTGAGGAGTATTTTTACTATTGAAAACCATTTTGATCTACAAATTCTTTATGTTCATTCATCTGCACCTCTTGTATATGATATGCTTGCTATCACTACATAGTTGTTCTCTCTGAGGTTTGAGCCCCCTCCCCACTATTTGCTATCCTAGAGAAAACAGGATGGATGGTTGTTACTGAAAGAAGAATTAAGAGATATAATGTATCACAAGATGACTGCTGATGATCTTTGCTTGTTTTTCAAAGCAATGAAATAACCCTTAACACTGGAGGGAATTTTATAACTAAAATTAAGATAACACTGTGTGCATTGTTGTTTATTGTTGTGTTTGCACAAGTCCAGGATAACCCTAAAAGATGTTATCCTCCTCCATAAGGAACTATATGGATGGTCTAATTGTGTTCAGATGATCCAGCAGAATCTGTACAATCAATCTAGTAGGACCAGAAGATAAACCAGAGAATTTAATGGAGTGGCACATAGGCAAGATGTATAAAGAAAAGAAAAAAATCCATATATATGTTATAAATCACTGGGGAATGTGGTGACCCCATAACTAGTAGACCTCATTGATATTTATATCAGGTTCAAACTGAAACATAGCAACCATAAAGAAAATGTTAACATACCCATTATTAATATAGATAATGTTACAATAATATGAGAAAATATCCCCTGATGAAAATTCTATAAATATTTATAACCTGTAGCCCCCACACAAAAAAACAAAAAAAACAAAAACACACACACACACACACAGTACCCTACATAAATCCATTGTGGAATAATATAAGATTTTATTACAACATATATTGGAGGCAATGTCTGAAGAAATGGATGCAGAAGGTTACCTTGATAGATTGCACAAAAAGCTTTAAGTTTTGTAGTTTCATAAAATAAATATTAAAATAGTGGATATATTAAAAAAGAAAACCAAATTATAAGAAAACTGAATTTAAAAAAAAAATTCTGAAAACCACTAAATTCATCAACCAAAATTAAATGGATTCCATCAATTTCTGTTTTAGCTAAAACATACAAACTTGGTGAACATTTAAAATGTTACTAAAGTATAATGTGCAATAGAAATAACTCCTATATCTCCCACATAATGAATGGTAAGACATTAGTGGTAATGATGTCTTCATCTAGCTAATGCCTTACCATAAAGAGGGAGGTATTTTTGCTGGAGCCTGTGTAAAAAAAAAAAAAAAGTAATTTCAAGTGATCAAATTAATTTTTTTCAAATAGATAATAATTTTGCTTTGGTCAAAATTAGTCATGAAATTTTTTAAAAGAACAAAATATTTGCAGCTCAAAGAGAAACATGACTAAATTGGCACAAGTAAAAAGATGTAAATTAATTAGTCAGCTGCAATTTTTGTTCAAAAAAAATAGGCAAGGAGTTTTCTCTTATTTCACATAGCATTTAAGTGAGCGCACATGAAAACGATATAGTATTTGATATAAGTAAATTTAGAAAACAAGATATTTTTAGCATATTCAAGTAATGAAACCACAACTATGAAAAATGATACCATTTACATAAAATAAAATAAAATAAATGTGAAAATATAAAAATGTAAAGTATAAAAAATTTATTAAAATTTGATAAAAATGTATGAAAAATTCACATCTCCAGATGCACAAAACGTCACAAATAGGCTGGAAGCAAAAGCTTTAAAAATATTTGCTTCATGCAAACATACAACTATCAAGATGATGACAAAACAAACAAAAGAACCTGCAGCAAGAAAGAAACATTTCTTACCTGTTTTGGCACTGATGGCTTTGGCTGTACCCATTCACGAGCAATGTAACGCTTGTGTTCATATTTTGCACGGATGAAGGCCTCCAAAGCACTACCACCATGTAGTCAAGGAAAAACAAATGTTATGCAAGATGTAGGTGAAAGACAGCTGTAAGTGTAGGGAGAAGTAAGCTATGATACAATATAGATGTATCATTTTCAAACTTGTGAGTGGAGTTACACAAGAAAACAGTCACTGATAATCTTGTGTTTCAAATCAACATAAAAAGGATACGAATCTGTTTGTGGTCTGCGGAAATTATCAGGCATATTGGCTTCATAAACTGCTCTTGCACGACTATTTCCCATCTCCATTAACATCTAAAATGAAAGGGAAAGAATAATTAATGATATAAATCTTTAATAAAATGTCAAAATTTAAAAGTTTTGCTCATATTGCAATATTAATTATTACTTAGATTCATGTCTGGTTTGACAGAGAACCCAACATAAAATCAGTCAATCAAAATACCCTAGTTTATCCTGAGACACCTCTTCATGATGTAATTGTCAGCAAGATGGACTTGTAGATTATTAGAGTTTGATCCTCATTAGAGTTTCTATAGTTACGACCTCTAAACTAAGCTATGTTTAGTAAATAACAGTCTTCAACCTGCTGAAATACTTATGACCACAAACAATATTGAATCGAAAATTATCACCTTCCAGTGAAAATGCACACATTGTATTTGATTTCAGAAGTTTGATTTTCTTTTTTTTGTCAAAATTGTTTTCGTTCATAAATTTTGAGTATTGAATAAGAAACTAATATTAACCATTGCTTCTAAAGTAGGTGCTTTCATCAGTGTTTACGCATGCCTAAATGTCAATAAACCTAATGAGATTTGGGGGTGCAAATACCATGTCCGACACAGATTTTTTTCAAATTTGCTACACTTATAGATCTCCATGAAAGGAATTGAATGGCACCTGTTACACATCTCAAGGTCAAGAGGTTCCTGAGATATGACCTCTGACCTTTTTATGAAAATGTGAAGTAATCAACTTTAAAAGATGATATCTCAGTTGTTTATGGACCTACAAAGTTCATTCAGATATCATTCTAAAGTACTTGGATAGATCTACAATTTTATCTGGGGATTTTTTTTTTTTTTAATTTTGACAAAAGATTTGACTATCTTATGACAGTATATATTCCAAATTTCATGATGGGCATTCCACTAGAACTGTTGCTACAAGTGTTTTATAGAACTGGGCAAAATTCAAAATGGCGGAATGTAGTATCTGCTACTTCATATAAAAACATTTTGATATTTCACAATATGGTCAAGTTGTATATCTTTGTAAAGCTATTTTAATGCTGATTAATATTCACATAAGGGCCATGGTCATGAAATCAATAAAAAATCAACAGTAAAAAGCAACAGTTCTAGTGGAATGCCCATCATGAAATTTGGAATATATACTGTCATAAGATAGTCAAATCTTTTGTCAAAATTAAAAAAAAAAAAAATCCCCAGATAAAATTGTAGATCTATCCAAGTACTTTAGAATGATATCTGAATGAACTTTGTAGGTCCATAAACAACTGAGATATCATCTTTTAAAGTTGATTACTTCACATTTTCATAAAAAGGTCAGAGGTCATATCTCAGGAACCTCTTGACCTTGAGATGTGTAACAGGTGCCATTCAATTCCTTTCATGGAGATCTATAAGTGTAGCAAATTTGAAAAAAATCCGTGTTGGACATGGTTTAACCCCTTGTTGATTTGACACGGAATGAGCCATATGATTAAACTAAATGGTTAATTTTTTAAAAAATATTTAATGATTCAAAAGTATTGTAAAGTTTGAAAGCCTCAAACCTGAAGTGACTGTGCCCATTAGATTTACCCGAGAGAGAAACAAATAGGCACTATATAATCATAAAAAATAGTCTTGACTAACAAATATTTCCCAAATATATGACAGAATGGAAAGCAACTTTTTATCTTATCTTATCTTACTTATTATAAAACGCAGATTGTGTGTGTGTCTGTAACGTTTATATGTTGGATCGAATTTCCTACATTTTTTAGCCGATTTCAACAAAACTTCACAGGACTACATAAAATTACCTTCTGGTGGTTTTAATGGGGCTGAAAATGGGAAAAACACAGTTGTTTTTTAATAAAATCATTTTGAAAACACGATTAAGACACATCGTGAGAATGAAAGGGGGACAACTCACCGACGAAAATGTAAACAAAAGAGTATAGCATGATGAAAAAGACGCCGAACTTGAAAACAAAATTTTATCGTGTAATGACATTAGATGATAAAATTATTTCATATTATTATTAAAGAGGAAAGATCAAAGTATTTTGGGGGTATTTTTTTTTACATTTTTTAATCGTTCCTAGCACGTCTAAAATTTTTGTTAAAAATATTGTTTTTTTTTTGGTCAAAAAAAAAAAAAAAAAAAAAAAAAAAAAAAAAAAAGACAGAATCATTTTCAATCATTTTTTCAATTTGATAAAAAAGATTAAAATCTTACTTTGATATTCTTTTAAAAATCAATTATCATTTTTTCAAAACTGATTTTAATAAAAACAGAAATTATACTGTTTATTTAAAATATTTTGAACCAAGCTTAACTTAGCTTCTGTGCGAAAAAAAATGTAATTTGAAAATAAAACAAAGCAGGTCATAACCTTTTCGCCCACTTGACGAAAGGCACATTCATGACGTTTAGATAACTTACGGGAGGAGAATTCTTTCTACGGATGGAAGGAAGTGAAATTATTTAAGTGAACAAATTATTTACCTTGTTACTTTTAAGGAAAACTTTCAGCGCTCTAATTTTTATTTTTTTATTAAATTTTTTTTTACTTAGCTTTCATTTTTACGTTTACGATGCTTTATGAAAAAAAAAAAAAAATAAGACTGTTAATAGTGAGATTAAATTTCATAAGAAAAAGGTATCTAATTAATTTAGGTACCTTTCTTATGAAATTTTATCAAAGTATATACATAAAATACTATAATTTTATGTACATTTATTACATTTTACTGTGTTATTTGTATTTCCATTCATTTTATTATTAATTTTGATATTTCATTTATGGAAAAATGTCATAAATGAGATTAATATAAAAATAAGATCATATAAATTAAAGTTTAGCAGTAGTTAAATTTCATAAGATGATACTGTTACTTGTAGGTACCCTTCTCAGTTGAAATTGAAAACTCAAATTAACTTCTCCATATGTGTTTCGCAAAAAAAAGCGGAGAACAATGCTGAACTCAAATAATGCAACTAAATTGTATTCTGGTTGCTCTTCCGTACTTGATAATTACTGTCCGACTATAAACACAAAAATTACATTTCTTAATTACTATGGCTAATCTGATTGGTCCAAATTATACAATTTTCAAAGCGCTAGACAATGACAATCTCACACGGACATTTTGAAAAGGTTGATGTTGCTTTTAACTAATGTTAAAATATTTTTAAAAATTCAATTTAAACATTTTTTAAAAATCTTTTTAAAATTAAAGAAATAAGAATTGTATTAAAAATTCAATTTTCATTGAAAAAATTTTTTGCTTTCAGAAAATATTGTCCATATTCATAAAAACAAATTAAAACAAATAAAAGCATTTGAAACTAAATAATATATTTGTTTTATTGAGTTTTGTATGTTACAATTCACAGCTGATTTTCAGGTACGTTGACAAAAAAACAAAACAAAAAAAACAAAAAAAAAACAAAAAAACATGATTTGCATTCTTCAAAGCCTTGTGCTTTTAACTACTGTAATCACTAAAACCGATGGTCTCGAATTTCTAGAGTTTTTCATAAAATTAGTTATGGGGGTGTTAATAAATATAAAAAAAAATATTTCTGCCATGACTTTAATAAAAAAGAAAAAAACAATTTCAATCATCTGTGAATAGTTTCTGAAAGTTTCATTAACATCTGACAATTATTTTTATTTTTGCAAGATTTTCCAAATTAATGTGTGTAAATACAAAAAAAACGTGCTAAAAATTATCTATGTTATTTACTACCCTTGTTGCGACAAAGAGAAACAAGGTTTTTTTTTAAATCAAAATTTAGAATATTCTAAAAAGATGGAAAAAATTTTAAAAAAATAATTAAAAAAAATTAGTCTATCCTCTTCATAAAAACATAAGCATTTTGACGATAAAATTGTTTTCATCAGACTATGCTCTATGTTTTAGCGATTCCGTGGAGTGACTTAGGTTAAAAAACCCAGGTTGTGTGTGTGTGTGTGTGTTCCTTTATATATGGGATCGGATTTCTTACATTTTCAGCCGATAAAACAAATATCCTCTTTTTTTTCGGCAGGTAGTATTTCTTATTGTCTTGCACACTTTTTCTTTATTTACATTCAGAATGCTTTAAAAATTCCATTTACAAGACAATTGTTTATAATAAAATTCTATTCAATCGGTAGACTCATGACGATTGAAAAAAATGTTTTTTTCAATTTGGGTTTGACCAATTCGTAAAAAAAAAAAAAAAAAAAATAATTAAGACATGCGTGTCCGTCAACCTTAAACAATAATCTTTGTCAATTTTATTTTTCAGTCTTTATGATGGTCGATACTTGATCTATCTCTTACTGTTACATCCCCGGGCAACGCCGGGCTCTACTGCTAGTCTTTTAAAATCTAATCTGCGTATGTTCATTAACAAAATTTTAATGACAAAAAGACAAATCACAAATATAAGAGTTACTTTCCTTAAGAGTTCATGTCAACAGAAAACATTCTTAGAAGCAGACATACAAGGCTAGCAAAGATTAAAAAGAGCTAAGTTGGGTAAACTAACAATCATCTCATTAAAACTTATCAAGGTCTACAAAAATACTTATGTTTTACAATCGTGAATTAGGTTATCAACTGTTAAGACTTAAAAATAAATTAGTGGGTTTCCAAAACCTTTAATAATTTAAATCCATGCAGCTTTTTCATCATATTTAATACATTGTTAAAAAGGCTGAATTGTTTTTTTACAATTAAGTAATACACACACATATTTTACAATTAAGTAATACACACATGTATTTTCAATGCCCACAGCTGTGATGATAGCCTTAGCTGGAGACTGAGTGACATCTTTTTCATAAGCAGAGCACACAGAATTACTTGAAATTTGGCACAAATGTCCCCTTCATGAGTTAGGAAAGCGTGCAAATTATTTTGTGCTAGACTTTACCGTTCCAATTTTAAGGGGAGGTGTATAATTTTTCTATTTTGCCTCTAAATTAAAATGTGCAATGTCGCCAATTTTTTTTGTGTTTTTATACATTCAATATTTCTGAAATTTGGTATGTAGGGCAAATAAGA